AAAGCTCATTCAAAAATAAAACTGAGTGAGTGAAAATCTAATGAGAGTTGAAATCCTAATGTGATGAGATTGAAGATGTGACTCAAAAAATGATACATCTTTTAAAAAACATAAATGTATTTGAGAATGGAAATTACAAAGACCATAGATAAATTTACTTTATAAAAAGTCAAGAATCAGAAAATTTAGTTAACAGGTATGAAACTTCAAATTGTACTTTTTAGTAATATAATTTCAGCTCAGCATAACTTGACATTATACCAGTTAGCACAGACATTATATCACAATTAATAAAAATAATAATTCATGAGAAGGTATTCTTCATGTCTTGACAACCAAACTAGACGTTCTGAATTATACTGCAAATTACTAGAATAAGTTAATTTAGTTTTCCAAGTCTGATACACAGACATCTAAAAATTCTAGTTTATCTACATCTTTGTACATTCTGTGCAAGACAACCAGACAACCCCTGGTGTATCATCATGTAGGTGTACTTATTCAATGTCATGGAAACATACACGCTGAGTATGCTCGTTGAATATAAGAGCTCAGGGTGCGGATATAAATGTCAATATAAATATATAAAACACTAACTATATCTTAAAGAGGAACACAGACTTTCATAAAAGATTTCCTTAACAAAGAAAATTACGTCTTTATATTCTTGCTACTTAAGAGCTCAAAATGGCCTGATCAAATTTTTAAAAATCAAAATCAATAACCAAACATGCAAATAAGATCATGCGAGTCTACATATATTCATTTATATAAGCATTTATAAACTCTTATGTCCCAGGAACTATGCTAGGACCTGAGGCAAATATAAAAAGGAAAATGAGAAGTCCAAGTGTTTTAAATGAAGAAAAATATTATTACAAAAATATTGAGATCCTGGTCTTTTTTCTGGTGATTCATGGATAACAATAAGACCTAACTTCTTGCCATGGTCAAAAACTTCATTCTTTTGAGTTCTAGTGGAATACATTATCTTTCATAATGTATTTTTCATAAGTAGCATTTTTTCTAAGCATCCTTCAAGTCACACATCCATTTCAAGGTGCACCAGCTCTGTGGGCCATTGTTATTCCAAGTAATTTTAAAATATCACTGTAAATAATATGGTTGAAATGAAATGTCCATGATCCCCCCCCCCACAAGCGTCGTCATTTCTAATTAACTCTAGACATAATTCTATTATAAAAACAAAATCAGAATGAACATGTCCCAAATTGTGGTACCACTACTCAAAATTCAGAAAATATGTTGTTTTCATGTACACATACACGAAATAAAATAATACCACAACAGAAGGGAGCTGTGTCCGTGTTTAAAGAAGGAGTTGTTGGCAAACAGCACAGCTCACTTCTGCTGAAATGTACACACTGCTATATGCAGCACAGAAAGCTGGCGCCAAGGGCTTACAACCTTCATTTGCCTGCAAGACGGCGCGGAGATTTACCTTCAGAGCACGTTCCTGATTGTTTCCCGCAGTCGGATGCCTCATGTTGGTTGCCGAAGCCTGGTTCTGCTCCTTCAGATGATGAAGCTCCTGCTCCAGCCGTTTGCACTGCCACAGGGGAGGAATCCCATTAAGTAAGGGAGTTACAGCATTTCCCCACCGCGCCACCTGAATTCATGGAAATAACACTGTTATGTTCTCTAAAGGAAGATATATATATATATATATGGTTTTTGCAACAAGACCATTGGGTTGGAAATGCTGCTAAATACACACAAAATAATATCGTCTATATAATACGCTGAGTAATACAGTACTCTAGGAATTCGATCGCAATATCGGGTAATCTCTTAGTCAAGTGAGTATTACAAGGTAAATAACAAATGACTTATTTTTGTAAAATCAAAGTCAATACAGATCAAAATGATTGTCCTCATTATCTACATAGTCTTGTCTAGCTGTCATCTGAGAAAGAGCATACTCCTAATCGTACTTTCTACAAGTCACTAACTTTTCAATGTACTATAGGGCAGTCTAAGATCAATTTTTATTTTTCATAAAGGTTCTCATAAAACTTATTAAAATTTGTTCACACTTAAAAAAGTATCTACGGAAACAATTGTGCAAACGATAAAGTACAGTGGCCGAGCGCTGTGAGGTACGGAAACAACTAAGGACACGAATGCTTTTAATTTCTCATGTTTTGACTGTACCTTACTCTTTCCGTAAAACAAGTAGTAACAAGTATGTAAAGTGACATTTGGGTCTCCTTGGATTAGAAGTGAATATTAGTAAAAATGAATCTAAATAAATGCATAAGTTTACTCTTAGAAGTATCAATGCTCACAAAATTATTAGAATATGCACTTTGAATATAAGATCTCAGGGTGACCATACAAATTTCATTATAAACATGATATATAATTGTGGAGGACATAAACTGGCATATTATAAATCAGGAAAATATAGAGATACATGGAGAACTGCCTAAAGGGAAAAAGGACTAAACTCGTCTTTCAGGAAAAAGTCAGAAATCACTCCTTGATTTATTTTTAAATTGGGATATTTAAATACTAAACAATAAACACATATGTTGAGTTAAGATAAATCTTTCTAGTTTATTTCATAAATGGCTATTTGCCATATTGGATAAAAAAATTACTACACAATCAAGATGCAACCATCATCCAAACTTGTATTTGGGCTACTCTAACGCTGATTTCTTCTGCCTGTTGCTGTCGAGTTGGTCCCTTGGACCTCTATTGTATCATGGGGCTGATAACCATGCTTCCCAACCTTGATTAATGTATAAGTCCTTGAGAAAAACCTCTAGCAGACTCCTCATATTAACTTAAATTAGGTGCTGTTCTTTATATATAAATAAAATTAAATTGGGCATACATATCTAATGCCTGCATAATATAATTAGGAAGCATATTAATAAATAACTATAAACATGGACTCATTTCAAATTACTTTCACACAGAAGGTAAAGTTTTATAGAACCTAAATTCTGCAAAGATGATATAGTACTGATTGATAAAATGATTGGTCCTTTCACACTGCATCATGATTCTACTGTGTGTTATACAACTTAATTCACCCTCCACAGTTTTCCTTATGAACTATGCTAAACCTTTGACCTTTATTTGGAGGGGATAAATGATTTACCTATCAACAATCTCTGTTTTTAGCCTGTAGCAATTAATATATTTGGTAACATGCAACCTAGATAAGGCACAAAAATTAATAATAAGACATAGTAGTAATAATTAAAATCTAGTAGAGATGTGATATAATCAAAATGTTTGATATATCCTTAACATTGTTGTCACTATTAACACAAAGCTACTTAAAGAAGTATTTAATAATTCAAAAGTTGGGTAGATAAATTTTGCTTTGGAGTAAAAGATGAATTTTAGTGGAAAGATGAATTCTGCTTTCGGCTTGATTTGGGTGTACAATTTTCAGAGCTGAAACTAGAGAAGGAAGAATAAATATAGAAGAAATGGGAATATAATTGTATCCCCAAGTAAAGTAGAAATGACCCAAGCACAAAGACTGCTTCCTTATCCATGTCATGCAGAACAAAGAATTCACTCAAGAAATAAATGTTAAGGAGCCCTGGTGGCATGGTGGGCTATGACTTAGGCTGCTAACCTCAAAACCTACATGCTGAATTTATTTTCATTGCTTCGTGGAGTTTAAAATTCATCTGGATTCTAACTGGCTAAGGCATCATCTTTGAACTTAATAAAAATGTGTATAAATGCTTTTGCCAAAATACACATTTACAATTTATACGTACGGTTTCTTTAGATTTACTCAATCCTTCATTATTTCTTTGTTTGATATTATAGTTGGAAAGCGTAGCGTACTTTTCACAATTGCATATTTATAGTTTCTTCTGTCTTCTTTTTCTTTTCTTTTACTAAACTCTTTAATTCTGAAATTTATTTTGAAGCCAAGGAATTCAATTGGTTATTTACGAGCCACTAGTAGTTGACAGTTATTACTATTCCTTTGTGGCTTCACTCACTATTTGATATGTAAAAATCTCACCTTTATCTATATTCCATATTTTCTTATCATTCTCACCAATTTATTATTTACACATTACTTAAAATATTGGTATTATCTTTTTAAATACACAGAAAGAGATAGAGAATATAACAGAAAATTATATCCATCATTAATATTTCCCTAGGATAAACACATCTGCCATATTTTTTCAAATCTCTCCCTCTCCAAATACCATGACCATCTACTTCTCCCTTGAGGAACCACTGTCTCTAAATTCCATTTTCATTCAGGTACTATCTGTTAAGCATTGACCATGCCCCAGAGGTGCTTGGTGGTGCAGTGAGTAAAGGGCTGGGCCGCTAACTGAAAAGTTAGCAGTGGAACCCAGCAACCACTCCGGGGGAGAAAGATGGGGCAGTGGGCTTCCATAAAGATTCACAGCCCCAAGTACCCCATTTCTGCTGTGCCCTGTTTGATTGCTGAGCCTCAGTGAACTGGACAACAGTGAGTTTTGTTTGCTTGTTTTCCTATGTGCCAGGCGCAACTATAAACACCAAACGGACTGCCATCAAGTTGACTCTGACTTCGAGTACGGGGTAGACCATCCTCTGTGGCTGCCCAAGGCTGTCACTCTGTACAGGAGAAGAATACCCCGTCTTTACCCTGGGCACGTCCAGAGATGGTAGAAATATGGCACTTAACAAAGTGGATAAAAGCCCTTGACTACCCAGACCTCACATTCTAATTGGACAAAACAGACAATGAACAAAATTAATAAACGAAATACATAGTACGATAGGTCATAAAAAGTTATGGAGAAAAAGGGATTCTAAATATAAATCAAAGCCAATCTCACTGCCATAACGCTGCTTTATATTCAAAGAGAACCTATAGGTCAGAGGAGACGGCCCCAGCAGGCTTCCCAAACTGGAAATGTTGGCAGGAGAAGAAGGTGTCATCTTGCTCCGATGTAGTGGCAGAAGGTGTTGAACTGGTGGGTTGTGGTTAGTAACCCACTACGCCAGTGCCGAATATTGTGTACCGAATAGAGGGACAATTTTAAATAGGAAAGATATCATTGAGAAAAAATAGTAACAACCCTAAGAAGACTCGTAGTAAACTATTCATATCTTTGGAAACAGTGGTTCAAGCACAAAGAACCAGTGCAAAGGCCTGAGGTGGGAGTTTACGACGTACAGTTGAGTAATAAGGAGAATCGGATGACGTAAACAAAGAGATGAATACCAGGAGAAGAGGTCAGAAGAGCATTCAGGTTCTTATAAAATTGTTAGTTTTTACTCTGAGATTGAAAGTTGCTGGGGTATTTGAATGGAGAGACAGCATGCTTTGTCTTACTTCTCCTTCTATTTTAAGAACAGATTGTAGAGGGCTAACTGGGAGGTCACTGAGTAGTCCAGCAAAGAGACTAGGATGGGTTGAGAACAGAGTGAGCTGTGCCCAGACTCCGGATATGCTTTTAAAAGCACACCAAGCCAAATCCCTTGCCACCGAGTCAATTCTAACTCACAGGGAGCCCATAGGAAGTGTGGAACAGTTCTGGTTTTCCAGGTTGTAAATCTTTGTGGAAGTCAATGGTCACACCTTTCTCCCAGAAAAACAGCTGGCCTTTTGATTGGCAGTCAAACACTTACACACGACACCACCTTTTTGGAAGGTATTGCTGAAAGAATTTCCCTGTACTACTGGTGGTCATGCTTGTTTTCTTATTCCTGACTGAACATAATGCTTCTAACATGTACTCACTAAGAAGTATTTAGTTTGGTAAGAGATCCTATTCCCCTTTGGTAAAAGTATGTGTTAATTTTATTGAATGCTTTCCATTAAATGTAAATTACCATAATTGAATCCTAGGTTATCATAGTACCTGCTGGTTATATTTATTTGTGTGTGTGTGAAGGAGAATAAATAGCTCAATTGTGTGTACAATTATTTTATTTCAGATTGTGCTTCAGTGAGATAGACATGTGCTTGCCCTTCCTCAAGCTCTTCTTTCTAGTTCTGTTACCCCTGTTGGTCTGTTAATTATTTTTGACTTTGACTTATGGCAACTGTGTACAAAAAGCACAGTTCCATAGGTTTTCAAGGCTGGGATCTTTCAGAAGCAGATACAAGACATGTCTTGCGAGGCATATATAGGTGGTAGGTTCAAGCTGGCAACCTTTAGACACAACTTTGAGGTCAAGACTTTTGGTTCTAGGCAACACGCACACTGATAATTCTAAAAGGGAGATTATGCTTCTAGCAGACTGTTGACCGGTAAGTTTCCCCATTCTGATTATTACTCTGGTCCTTCCAAACTTTACAAGTTGGACTCTCTTCTGGCTTCCCTTCACTGGCCATGACTGAACTGGGAAGAACTGCTTTCAAATCCGTCACACACCTTTCCAAATCTGAACCACAGTGTCACTTGTATTTTTGTTTTTTCCAATGACTTCCTCGTGATCCATATGCTGGTTCAGCATGACCACAGTTAATTTTCATTGCTTGCAATGTTATCCATAACTTGTTACAATACACACACCAGAATGCCTTTGCACAGTCAGTAAGACACAAGTAAACATCTT